ATATTTTACTGTCTGTAGAATTAAGGCAGACATATTCTGAAACTAAAATTGTAGTTTATTATAATAGAGGTAAGTCGTAGTATACCTACGTTTGTCATTAGTGACCACCTTTGCTCTTCATGTGGGTGCTATAAGTAACGACATTCATGAATAGTATAGCCTTCGAATAAACATAATACTATTAAAAATCGACATTGATAAACGTGGAATTTATGGCAAAAAATGGACTTTAATGAATTTTCTTCTTCTTCTTCTACTCATATAAAATGTTGCCCCACACTAGGATTTTCTCCTGTGTCGTGGGTGCGTTTACAAACATACAATTTCACATACAGTATATGACACCCAGACCAGAAACAACAATTTTAATAATTAGCTATTATTTTAATAGAAGCTGGGCCGATCGATTCCGTATTCCCAATGAGAATTCTTACTTAGCCTAATCTTCTAATTGATTACGAGAACTCGTATCCCAACGAACCATAGCAGTCTAAGTTGCAGAAAGAAAAAAAAAACAACCGACCTTTTTTTAAAAATTGTCGCCAAAAAAACGCAACAACTAAACGCTAATACGTATACGCTACTCGAGTCAGCATTGCGACACTTGGCTTGTTCGTGGACTTCGTGGGTGCTGCAATATGACATTGGCTATGTGCTATATGCGACACGGTATGTCAAGGCGAATGCAACGTCCGAGAAGTTCTATTCTAATGTAATTAATTGAAAATATTTTGACAATACTCAAACACAATATAGGTAAACAAAACGTCATGAGTTATTAAAAAAAAAAATTTTGTGTGAAGTGATATTTTTTTTTTTAATCAAAGTTGTGCCATAGAGTTTTTATTTTGGCGCCTAAAATATTTTATTGAAAAAAATATATAGGTATTCAATAATAAGTTCATTTATATTATTTATCGTTTATTCTTACAACATTCTATTAAACAATATTAAATAGTAATTATATTCAACAATTCATTGTAAAACGTTTACCTACTATTTCAATTAAGAATTAATTAAACTCCAAACAATACAAATAACTTTTTATTTTAAAACAATTAATGTTTTGTACGTGGCCTAATTTATTGTCCAGTATCCCTTTAACAATCAAATTTAATACATTTTTAATTGTTTTATTTATAATCAAAACGACATTGGAACTTAATAATGAAATACCAAAGAGTTCATTAATAAAGTTATTTCAACGTTATTCAGCAGTTATTTATAGCGGTTATTATCGTTACTCGATCGAATACCGTCATGGCATGCTAGATTTAAAAAAGTACTTTTTTAAATTTGGAACATTAGTCGATCCTACTTTTTTTCCATTCGCGTAGTCCGTCGCAGCGGGGGTCACACGTTTTTTCGTATAAAATATAGCAAACGGGATTTTTTGCAATTAAATTTTTCAAATTTCAATAAACCTGAATTTTCGAGAGTAATTGTGTAAAATATTATGTCGGTGCATACTATTCCTCTGGTTACACCTTTCATTAGAGGCCCGAGGTTCCCGTACAGAAAGAGTGAGTGCATTTTTCTTTATATTTTCAGCGAATTTTTTCTTGAACGTTTCATAGAATTCATGAAAAAAATCGCATATTTTTCGATAACGAGCGTCATATTCCACAATTTACAAAATTATTATATATATATATAACTCCGCCCCTAAGACGACCCACTGACCCTAAGACGACCCACTTTGTTCTGTATTCTGAGATTTTAATTTTATTGGCATAAAAATTCCACTGCTTTCTCCAAGAATACGAGAACGTCGTAATGATTTTCAATATTTCATTCAAATTATTCATGAAAACTGTTACAATTTCTCTCGAATTTCGGAATATTTTCTAATTTTATTTATCGTAATATTTAGGAGCAACTTATACTGAAAACGCGATTCTTCAAATTAATCGTGGTATCGTTTTATGTTGCCTTTAAGACGTGTTTAATGAGACCCAGTCAGAGTTAAATCCGCCCCTAAGGCTACTCACTACCCGAGCGTCCGGCGCATACCGTTCCGCGCGCGCCTCAAAGAGCCAATAGACCAACACAGACGGGCCCTATAGACCTGATGTTCGACTGGGGTTGCGGGGTAAGCGCAATGAGGCACCGTGACCTCGGCCCAGAGCGGGAGGAGGAACGGGGGGGTTTTTAGTCATTAAGAGTCTGACACTCCCTCCCGCCCGGCTCTGGGCGGGAGAAGTCATTTGATGATTTTCCTCTCACAAAAAAAAGGCTATTCACTGACCGGTTGCAGGGCAAGCGCAAATAGGCACCGCTGCCGCGGCCGACGGCAGGAGTAGGAACGGTTTTTAGTCACGAGTTTAACACTTCCTCTAGCCCTCTCTCCCTCTAACCCTGGGCTTTATAAGTCATTTGATGAATTTCCCTGAACAAAAAAAAGTTAGTAGAATGTCACCACGTATTTAGGTATCGTCATGAGCTAATGTTCACCCCTAATCAACAGCTCATGTATTGTAGCTTATTTGTTACCTTCTCGTAATATTTATTATCTAACATGGCAATAAAATTATGCAATTGCAATTAATATACATACGAGTATAACAGATGTCTGTCTGTTGAGACTGACATAACTATTCGTTGGCGTATATCCAAATTGTCGGACATTTTTATTATTATGTGTACCTAATTATGTCATTGACTTGTTGTTAATATCAAAATTAAAAATTAAGATGAGTATTTGACTGCATGGCTAGTGCCATGGCTGGGCAACCAGCGGCCTCGATTTCTGGCTGGTGGTTGAACACGGAACAAAATAAATGTGTTATATATGTATAAATTGTTGTATCGCGTCTGGGTGTGAAATTGTATGTTAGTAAACCACACACGCAGCGACGCAGCGTCGGCCTAGAGCAGGAGAGCGGAACGGTGGAGTTTTTAATCGGAGTCTTGTCTCTCCCTCTTGCCTCACTCGGGTAAGGGGTCACTGTATGATTTGCCCCTCACAAAAAAATGTTACTTCGCCGTGTGAGTGAGGTAATAGGAGAACTAGTGCTACCCCCTGCATTCCCTATCCCTAAATTCAGAATTCTCAAATCTCTTACAACCCACAAAAGGCCGACAACGAGCTTGTAAATCCATGAATGTTGCGGGTCCATGGCCGGCGCCGATTGCTTACCATCAAGTAATCTGTCTGCTCGTTTGCCCACTTATTCCATAGAAAATTTTACTTGTGCACTCTACCTAACGTATCTCTTCATAGAATGCATCGCTATATATTACATTTTCTAAATTCGCTAACTTGTGACAGACAGAATACAATTTATTTTTATAGACGGCCATAGGATGTCGTAAATTGTGAACCAAAATGGGGCAGCCATTTTTTCGTAGGATAAATTGAGGATTTTCAAAATGAGGTAGTGTTTCATTGAGATCATTATCCTAGAGGTAGTTGAGTAGCTAATGCGATTACCCAGCACGAGGTATCGAGTTCATAGCTCGTGTCAGTTGAGCTATATGTATTGGGGTGATTTACTCAATATTCCAATTGTAAGGATTCGAAATTTTAATTTATGTGGTGTCACTTTAGTGTTAGTTTTGAAGAAGTGATATTCAATACTTTATTGAAATGACAAAAACTATTTGTTGTTTATTATGCGCCCCTAAGGCTACACATTGACTGAAATTTGTATGTAATCGCAACCTTATAATGATTTTAAGTGGAATGAACATTTATTTCTGAGAAATATGCTTGAATCTAAATAAAATGTAAAATTATATCGTCAAATCAATCAATGAAAGTATTATATTTTCATAACTAATTGTGTTGAAAAGTCAATACATATAATTTATTTTTGATCTAGGATTACTAACTGCTCTATTGGTTTGGGTGTAGTATATTGTTTTTGAATGTTCTTAAAATCTATTTATATAAACCAAAAATGATTTCTGTGGATTAGTCTCGCTAAGGTCTAGAACAGCTGAATCGTTGTAGTTAATTTTAGTCTTGAAATAGGTATTCTTGGAGTCAAGGTTTACAAGGGTCAGTAAGTATGACAAAGTTGTGAATTTAAGATATTTGACAAGGAGATAAACTTTGAAAAGAAAAGTTTAAGATATTAGTTAATTTTGAACCGGTACGCAATTCAGACTTAAGAGCCTACAGTTCTACCAATTCCTTCAAAGAATATCAATCTATAAAACTATACGTGTGTCTCAAATTTGTAGCAAAAAGGATGCTAACCCTCTAGGCAGGACTCACTGGATTTGTGGTTCGATGACCTTAAATTCGTGACCTCTCGGGTCATTTGAGGTCGTCCGTGCTAACTACACTACACTATGCGCGGCTGATGTGGCTCGTATGTCTATACGGACTTTATATGTGGCTATGAATGTCCCCTGAAATGCTTTCTTCGTCATTTAAATATAAGAGTAATGGTTCTCCTCCTTTGTATCACAATATCAGAACTTACTGTGCACAGTCACATTTAAAACTAGCTTACTAAAAAAAAGTGTGATATGTATGGCTCCTGTTATCTTTAATAAAATTCCTGATCACATGAAAACCTTGCCATTGATGAAATTTAAAAAATGTTTTACATTATTACTTGTAGACAAATGCTATTATTCTGTTCAGGATTTCTTTAATGATACATTATAATCACCCTTTTGCCTTATTTAACTCAAATGTATAATAATTATTGTATTTGTATGTATCTACATTTTTAGAACTATACATATTACGTATCTATTTTGATGCGTTTATTTAATGGATAAACTGATTGAAGAGGAAGGTTATATGTATAATTACATTAATTAAATAGCGGTGAAATTGACGGGCGAATAAATCAGAACTCGTGTATTGCGGTGGCCCCGGCCTGTAGTAAGAGAGGGAACGGGATGATTTTTAGTCAGTAAGAGTCAGAAACTTCTTCTCGGCGCCTCCAATGAGATAAGCCATTTGGTCATTTTCTCCTCTCTATAAAATATAACCCTTGTTAAATATGTTGGTATTAATGTAACATTTCCATTGTCCACAGGCAAGTCGCCGTTCTTTCCCGGCGTGGAGGAGGCGGCAGTTGCGGGGGGCGCGGCCGGAGCGGGCTCGCCCTCCGTGCCCGACCAGGCACAGGATGTGGTCTCTAGGCTCTCGGCGGCCGGTTAGTATTTAGTACTCGTTACCTTTAGTTTTCTTTTAGCAGAAAATCACGTTGGACCCAAATAAAGTCCCCGGGGAACCCCATACTGTGTTTTTGTAGGACAATTTTGTAGGAGTACACGTAGAAGTGGGTCGTTTTAAATTAAAATCCCTAGAGAACGTCTCGCCAGTTCCATCGCGTGCGGTTCACACTCCTGCCCTCTTTTTCACTCTATTTACTAACAGACAATAAAAATTGACACCGAAAAGTGCCATTTGGTTCAGCCAAATGTAGTTAACGCTTAGTTAGAGCTTTATTTACAAACACTTCTTATCGATCTTGGTCTGCAAGTATATGGGTACCATGTTAAGGGTTTTCAAATCACCTTTTATATGGGACTTCCAACATTGTTTCAGGGCTGTCAATGTGCGTAAGCGCGCTCGGCTCTCCGGCCCGGTCGTCGCCCGTGTCCGCCGGTTCCGAGCACGGAGAGCGATTCAGCCGAAAGGTGTTCGTGGGCGGATTGCCACCGGATATCGATGAGGGTAAGTGTTTATTACCAACAAATATCAGCTCATGTAAAGAGATTGTCCAGTCAACTGATGGTAGCGGTGACTGTCCAGGCGACACACGTACTTAGGTATCGTCATGAGCTAATGTTCACATGTAAACAGCAGCTCATGTAAAGAGATTGTCCAGTCAACTGATGGTAGCGGTGACTGTCCAGGCGACACACGTACTTAGGTATCGTCATGAGCTAATGTTCACATGTAAACAGCAGCTCATGTAAAGAGATTGTCCAGTCAACTGATGGTAGCGGTGACTGTCCAGGCGACACACGTACTTAGGTGTCGTCATGAGCTAATGTTCACATGTAAACAGCAGCTCATGTAAAGAGATTGTCCAGTCAACTGATGGTAGCGGTGACTGTCCAGGCGACACACGTACTTAGGTATCGTCATGAGCTAATGTTCACATGTAAACAGCAGCTCATGTAAAGAGATTGTCCAGTCAACTGATGGTAGCGGTGACTGTCCAGGCGACACACGTACTTAGGTATCGTCATGAGCTAATGTTCACATGTAAACAGCAGCTCATGTAAAGAGATTGTCCAGTCAACTGATGGTAGCGGTGACTGTCCAGGCGACACACGTACTTAGGTATCGTCGGTAAACAGCAGCTCATGTTGTCTATCCAGTTAGGAAGCGTTGTCTAGTGAAATACTAGCTAGCAAGGTTGACTGACTAAGACTAGGAAACGTCGCAGATACATAGGCATCGTATCTTTAGATTATGATTAACAGCAGCTCCAGGAAAGTGATAGGGGATTGTACAGTCAACTTATGAATGGTATTATTAATAAGCGACATCAATCACAAACATCAGCATCCTTATTTACCTTAAACAAAACAACCTGCCTATATATATATCGTTCATTCATTTTATACTTATCTGAAACACAATCCTGAATTAACCTAACCTAGATATAAATGGTTGACAATGGACATTCATCCATTGTATATTTATCAGTAGCCATTGCCGGGACAGCTTGACAAGCCAGTGGGTCCATTGTAGCAACTGGGTCAGCAGATACCATTGAAATGAGTTATGCGAACTGATAGAATGCTACGTGATGTAACATTGCCCTTTTTTCGCACTGCCACGGGTGCCAGCTAAGGGATTTTACGGGGAAAATTGCGTAAGCGGTATTTTTACCTGCGACTTTTTGAGGCTGATGAAAAATGCTTTTTTGGGCCAAAAATTCAATAAACTGAGACTTTTGTTTCTTACATCAGTGTAAGACAGTACATTAGTCTAACTTGTTGACGTATTTTTCATTCAAAATTTAATTTTGAGCCACGTTATTGCCAAATGTAGATATTATGACGAACTCTCTTTATCAATTAGGGTCATTTGAATTAGATATCTTATTGTTTTTATGCAACTTGACGAAAAAACATAACATCGCAACAAATGAATTAACTAAACAGAGGTCGGCAAAGTGTCACTCTATTTGAGAAACGAGCCTAAACTAAATTATATGCATTTAACAGATTAGGTAAAATATTTTAAAAGTTTATTTTCGTGTGAAAAGTTTTATATACATTTTTTTACGTCAGAAATAAGTAGCAATAACTAAACTTTCTTTCTAGCAAAACAATTGTTAGAAAGAAAATTAGGTTTTTTTTTTCATTTTCTTTTTTGGTTCGTTTTTGAGGACACAATTTCAAAATGTTCCATCGTAACACTATGTCGATAAGCATTAGACAGACCCGTCTCCTATTACGGGCCTCGTAACACAACCATCTGAAAATTGGGTTCACTTTACACCTGCCTACTCGATGAAAAAACACGACACTTAACGATATTACTTTCTTTATCCATGACCCTAACCAATGTGCTGTTAACTAAATGAATTTTTATTATACCACTATATAGCTCATAGCCCTTATTTATTTCTATCTTTATGTAACTTAATTACAAAGGTGGACTTAAAATGCCTTAGGTAAACTCAACAGTCGACTTTTGGGTGATGTAGAGAAGAAGCAAACTTGGGACAATTTGATTACAAAATGCAACTTAAATATATATAACACTAGTAGAGGCATATAGCACAATACCTTTGTATAATTATATTCCACATAATATCCTTACCTATAAATTTTTGTTACTTTATCCTTCTATTCTTAACGTGGGAAACAAGCAATGAAATAATTATTTATTTTTGTAAATAAGCCATAACGTAGCACTTTTACATGTCAACATATAAAAAATACTACATGAAGCCGGCATTTCCTATCTGACTAAGAGAAGTAGTCAGACTGAGAAGAAATGCCGAAACAAAATCGGAGATCCGTCTTCTTTTTTCATGTTTTCATAGTTCATACAAATTAAAAAATGTATGTCTATCTGTTTTTCAAATATTAAGAGTCATAGTAAAAAAATTGCGTACCACGATTCTACGCACTTTTTCAATACATCCGACAATACACGATATTACTTAAAAAATAGACTTTTATACATAAAAACTCAACCTCGACCGGTGATTATTAGTTCCACAAACATTATTATTCAGGTCAATATCGATGTAGCCTTGGCTGCCTCCATTACGCTGCACCAACTACCATAACTGTTGTGTACGCGTAGCCAAGCAACCACCCAATGTTGTGTAACCCGAAACTATTTTAACTGTGAATTATTTAACAGATTAAGGATGCATTTATTATAATTAGCTAGTTTCTTGCCCATGTTAACATTTGTTATTCCAGACTATATAATGTACTTCTGTGCCAAATCTTATTCGTATAAATTGAGTTGTTTTTACGTGAAAGAGTAACAAGCATCTATCCATCTCTATAAAATGAGCCCATTTGTAATAGGTATTAGAAGGATTATTGACATGTATGCTTTGCAAATGATCGGGTGATGAGGTTGGGTAAGGCGAGAGGGTATTTCAGACTCTTACTGACTTTCGCAACCCCCGATTGTTTAGGCTCAAGGGTTTGTTTCTAAGAATGTTGTAATTAGTAATGACAGAATCTACGAACGGACCATATTGACGTTACCTATACTTCAAGTATATGGCTGGGACAAGTCACTAAAATCTAATATCCTTTTAATACAATATGAATATTATAGACGTGGCTATTGGAAAGTATGGATGTATGGGTGGATGCATACTTGTTACTCTATCACGTTAATTATTATGTTTTCGGCTTACTCACGCAATAATTTGACGAGATACTCGAGTAGTTTCAAGCCATGCTAGAGGCCCATATTCATGTAGAGCATTCCAAGACACGCGACGCGGCGACTGTCGCGCTGCTACTGCTTTCTATCACGTTAACTACAAAACGGATCCCAATGAAGTTTAATACAGATATCGATTCTATTGTAGAACGGTACAGTGACTTTTTACCCTCGCACTGAGGACAAAGCTGCTGGTAAAAACTAACTCGAAATGCAGAATGAATTTGACTAGTAGTGAGGTTATCCAGTTACGTTTGGATATCAACCTTTTTTTCAGGGCCAAAATCATCTAGACTCCCGCTCAAATACAGCTAGGAACACCAACATCTGGTAGACAAAGGCCAATGTCCATGTAACCAAAATAATAAGTTAAATCCATTGGCACCAAACTTGAGATTAACTAATTCAAATAACATTAAATAGGGCTGGGAAAACCACCCTGTTCTTTTGTTCCGAATCGGGCCTACGGTATATAATTGCGCTTACCCTGCAACCAACCAAATGTCTACACCCACTAGCAATACATAATTTATGTTGCAGTTTTTATTCTATTATGAAACTAGTGTATATTGGATTATAAGTGCACGTTAGTGATTACAGCGTACAAGTGAGATTGCAGACCTTCCCACACGTGTCCTTGTTGACGAGTAGCTCAGTGAGTAGGTAGGTAGAGCGCGTGTAACGCACTGAGGCTCTAAGACGATGCATCGCCACGTGTACCTTATTATGTTAGGTAGAAGTCTATCCGAACCGATACGATTTAAACCTCAAAGGACACAACTTTTTTAAAGGCCGTTTCTAACACCCATCCTTAGCATTTCAACTCCATTTATCAATAAAACGCACTACGTTTTTATGCATACAATTTCACATATTTTTTATGTACACATTCCGATCAGTCTCGGAACAATAATTTTTAGAGCACTTAGAACACAGTTTTTCCGTGCGGATCGGAGATCTACCCCGTGACACGTTGTGCCGCGTTGATCATTCAAATCTACATTTATATACTGTAATAGTTAGAGGCGTGTAATGATTAGTAAAAATAAACGCTATACGCGTGTAAGTGAAGATTTTGTTCCGAAAAATAAATTGCAAAGGCCTAGGTTATAAGCAACCATTGATTGTCATCAGATATGGCAGCGGTATGACTGTCAACGTTGAATGATTCTACATTTACGATTGCCTCTACATCAAGGTTTAATCTGACTTTCGTTGGTAGTGGTGAAGGATACACACGTGTTTTTTGTCGGTACTACGATTGTTGTCAATTTTAGTGATCTTTTTCATAGTGATCTAAATTGAAACATTTTGTTTTGTTTTTATTGTGTTTGTGTGTGTAATTTTTAAGGTAGTAAGTAGTAGTTTTAACTTTTATAACTATAACTTTTTCTCTCCCCTACTTCCCTCTTCTCTCCATTGTCCAAGATGGACGAGGAGAAACCTCCGGACCCTCCCGATAAATTGTTGGACTACAAACCAATTTTAACCGTTACCCTACCCCACGATAACCCCGATCCCGAAGAAATGGACTCTGAGTCATCAGTCAACAGGAAAAGATCTGCAGGCTCCCCACCTATCTCTCGTAATAACCCTCCAAAGGTAGCTAAAAACGTAAATGGTAGGCAATGCTACACAGCAAAGGACAACCCCCCGTACATTGTATATGTCTCCCTCAAGGACTCCCAGACCTCTGGTACCACACTCCACCCAGTAAAGTTTGGGATGTTCTTGATGCGAAACAATATAAATAATGTAAAAATTGGCGGTGTCAAACGGCTAGGAAGAAACAGGGT